TAAGTGATGACCAAAGCGTAAGCGAATTGGACAAGTCGTTTGCCGACGGCTTACTCCACTGTAAATGGAGCCGAAAGCCATCGTTCACTATAAGAGGCCATAGTTTTGATTTACAAAACAATTCATACTTTTTGCTATTAGCGTACGGACCGCTTGATTCAGGTCTGAAATGTTTGCATTATTTATCAAATAATTTGCATAACTATTGAATATTTATGAAAACAGATGAACAAAACATAGCAAAACACACGGAAGTAAAGCCCACCGATTTGGCCACAAATCTGCAGTCTGTGGGCATTTTAAAGGCGGCGCCCGTCAGTATATACATAAAGCTGCATGGTGCTTTTATGATAATCGCATGGTTGGGATGCGTCAGTATTTCCATACTAATGGCTCGCCATTACAAGAATTCATGGCCTGATTCTACGCTCTGTGGCGTTAAACTCTGGTTTGCGGTAATTATATTCAATTAAGTTTAAGTCTACATAATTTTTTAATAACTAATTATAAATTTTAACCAATACCTATGACAACAGTATCACCGGGCGATTATGGTCACGGGTGTGGTCGCAATAATTATTGCAACGGTCTTAATATTTGTCGAGAAGAAGGGCTGGAGTGGAGTAAGTGATGGCCTGCTATACATCCGAGATATGATATAAGATATAAAAATAAATTTCTTTGATCCCTAAAAGCCGTCTCCGCACGCAATTATTGGCTTGACTGCAATCATACTATCATTACTGCAACCAATCGGCGCTCTCTTCAGACCCGGTCCCGACTCTCCGAAGAGATGGCTGTTTAATTGGCTTCACTGGTCGGGCGGTTATATCGGACACGTCCTGTCGTGTAAGTACTTTTGTTGTGAACAATGTTGTGCTCATGTTATTTGTCTGAACATCGTTTTAATTTTGTGCGCCAATAGTCGCGGCGATATGTTTAACATCAAAGTTTGGTACTTTGGTCCCAAAGTCATTCTTATGGGTAGTCATCGCTTTTGTTGTCTGTTATGTTAGTCTTCATATTCTTCATCACTTGAAGACTTTGTTGACTGATAACGACCACAAGGAAATCAATCAAAGCGTAAGTTTTATAACATTTTATAATGCATATAAATAGATAAAAACATAATTTTTTAAAAATTCTTCAGCAATAGTTTATTTCAAGAATTATCAAAATTACACTACATACGTGTATATGTCAATTTAAAAATATTACTCCTTAGAGTTTAGTGTTGCAATATTTTATTAATTAGGTTTTGTTATAAATTGAATGAATGATAATAAGATTATATATTATAATAATATATAATAAATTCAATAATTTTTGTAATAAGAAAGAGAATAAACAGAAATTTTTTATGCCTTCAATAATAAAAGAAAAGTTAATTAGTGTAAGCATATGATTGATAAATGTCTAATGTTATAGTAAAAGTATTCTTGACTTTTAGCACAAGTAAATATATTATAATTACATTCAATTTATTTTATTAAGTATATAAACAGTATCTTGTGTTAGACTTGTATGCTATATGTTATGCATTTTTTTAAGTACAAGAAAATATTATTAATTTTGTATTTCTTGAAAAACACATTTATATATTTATGAAGTACTAGTTTTTTATTTGAGATTATGATGTTTTCTAATTTTATTATTATATTATCTGTTTTTATTTATTGAAAACCTCATGATTTTGTTGAACAAAAATATTAATTATAAAATTTGATTTGAAATTACAGGGGAGACGAGTGATAGATACACTTCAAGTGCTGCTAACCATCGCTATTATCATAGCATTTGTAATCGCGCTCTTAATACTCTTTTTATTGTGAGTGAAAAACTAATTATAAAAAATATTGTCAATTGGTTGTCATTTATGCGTTAAATTGCTTTTCCCCAGAAAAACAATTTATTTATCACATAATGAGCACTGATTTACATAAAACTAATAAATAATTAAAATATATAACACAAATGAAAATAAGTTAATTCAATAGTAGACAATGGCATCCATTTGTTCTGATTTGCATTCATTTAATTTATTCAATAATTAGTAATTGTATTGTTTAACACAATTTTAACACTAATTCCGGAATATAATTATTGTATTGCATTCTCAATGCTGTGATCAAAGTTATTGTACATTCAATGTCTGAATAAATACTTAATAAAATATATAATTTTTATATACAT